TTTACCTTGGAAATCAATCTCTCATAGCTTTCAAGAGAGTTTATGCGCTCTGAGCCTTCTCCATCTCATTTATTTACCTCTCGCATAGCCTTCAAATGTCAAACCATGTTAACTTACCCTGCTAATAGGAAGTCAGGAGCCCCCGATATCTATAGGAGTCTGCGCGTCACGTCTGAGCTCTTTGTGCATGTTGTTTCAACTCATTGTCCCCAAAACCCAGCCTACTCGCTCAGAAGGAACCGTCAAAATCTGTCAAAGGCAATACTTGGAAAAGCACTCCCTCTTTAAATCGTGCCATGTTTAACTGTTCATTGTTGCATGTGATTAAACTTCTCCTTCCACTTTAGCTTCGCACTTTATTATTTATAGACTGTCTCAGTTTTTCATCAGTTGAAATAATTGTCGTTGTTTTTTCTTATTTTAATAGTGTAAAACATTTCCATTACAGTGAATTAAATCTATAATGAATTAATTCCCTGCCTTTGTAATAATATATATATTAAGAATCCATATTATGCAGAAAAGGTTTGCTTTGTGTCCATTTTGAGATTCCCAGAAGCTTATAAAAGCTGTCGAAAACAGACATCTTGAAGGTTGGATTGATGAAGACATCAATCCAACCTTTTAATCATTTTCAACCTTAAAGTGGTGCAAAATTCTCCCTCTAGTTTTGAATGTTATCAGCTCACTGAAAAGCCATTACAAGTCGTTACCAGTCTCACACATGCTGCCAGGCTCCTCCTCCTTTTTGTAGCTGTACCTCATTCGATCCACCCTTCAGATTAAGCGCAACAAAACATAGTGTGAGCTTGACACATCAACCGGCTTGCTTTTTCTTTCCTAGTGGTTGTCTTTAGGTTTGTTTTCAGGCACCAAAAATATGGATGGCTATTTGTTAGGCGGTAGAATCGGTTGTTTGCTGATGAGAAGTTGGGTAGTTTGATCCCTGAACCCCAATTTGCCCCCGATGCATATTTACTGTGTGGAAGATAAACTGCATTTAATAATGTGCTCTATGAATGTGCGTATAATGCAAAAAGGGCTCTTGAGTATCCTTTTCCTTGATCACCAAGACATTTATTTACCTTTGGAAATCTTACATGCACTTCTTCAAACTACCACTAGAGGTCTCCTGCACAAGCTGGAGTGCCTACAATGTTTGAAAACCATCTTCTGAGTTGCTATTAGACGAAGAATTGCACCTACTGGCCGTTCATTGAGCTGATAACATCAGAACTGGGCGACTGGATTGCGTTTCCTGTCAGCAAGTGTGGACACACACATCACCTGTCGGTGTAAAACAACGCTTGACTGAACAGCACGACAAACTGAAGCCTCCAGACTGATCCTACAGCTGAATCAACAATTCAGCTTAAATTAGACTTAGATGGTACTTATAACACCGGCAGAGCATATACACTCTAGAACACGCATATACATAGTAAACTGTGACTAAATTCAGAGTAAATTGAGACTATTTGGAAAACAAAGACGAATCTGGCATTTTGTGACAAATACTCGAGACTCATAAGTTAGGCTAACTCAGACTCCTTCTGTTAAAATAAAACATGGGATCATCCAGCCTTATACGGTGTCAACATCAGCCCCTGATTAATCTAATCTCCTATTTTCTTCCCACTGTCAGTCTGTATCTGTCTCTGCTCTTCAGTACAGTCGACAGATGTGTTTGTTCACTGTTTAAACAGACACTGCTGTGTTTTCGCTCATGCTCTACTTAAGCTCTCGTCTAAATGCGCTTGAACGCTTCTGCATTTCCGACGGGGGGTCGGAGGGGGTGTGTGTGCACGTATGCAGCAAGCGCAGGATAATACACAAGTGTCCCTCTAGTTTCGTGCGGGAAAAGGAAAAAAGAAAAAAGGTAGGAAATAGAAAAATCAGTGTTGATGGAAAACTGCACGAGGGGAACCTGAGTGCTAAATGAGTCTTTATAAAAGGAGTGAATAATGTAAAGCACAAATAAAGCACAACGAAGGCGACCCACTTTTCTCCGTGTGTGTCTTTAGAGGTTCGACGGCGAATTACCCGTCCCGCTCATATCCACTTTCATTACGGCCTAACATTCAGAGAGCAAGGGTGTGTGTGTGTGTGTGTGTGTACAAATGTGTGCCGGCGTGTACCTGAATGTCACGCCGTAATGAGAATGGATATGACAGTGACAGGGCCATCAACGAATGGGCCCCCGGTCTGCCTTACTTCTTCCTCGTGACATGTGGCGCGTACGTGACAGGGAATACACTCACACAGACACACGAACACACACATCACGTGCACACAATCTTTCTCTATCTAAGACAGTGGGGTGCAATAGAGCCAAGACAATAACCAAACTCTATTTACCAGACCTCATTCCCTCATTCGGACTCGAAGTAATTACTTTTAAATTGCAAAACTGAGGAACATTAACAAACGGATGCGGCAATTTAGGTCCGCCTGGGGCTAGACAGCTTGTTTTCAAATGGAAATGAAGGTATTTTGCCATTGTCCACTGTAATATTGTTGTGTTATGGTTTAAAGCTTCCCTTTCCCCCCTTTTCCTGTGTGCATGATAAAAGCAAAGGGGCACTGGTAGTGTTTACCGGCCCCACTGTGGCAGACAACTTGCTCGGAGCGAGGTTAATTCTAGCCTAATGCTAACGCCGACGGAGAGGAGCGTCGCTCCTTCGACTCAGAAAGACAGACACCGCTGCTGTTCGGCCACATAAATCAACACAGACACTGATATTCACAGTGTGGCAACATAAACAGAAAAACCACACACATACTCACAGATAGACAGACAGAGGGAGGAGCATGCGTTTTCCCCACGTCAGGGTCACAGCACATCAATAGCAGCCATGATTATCATGATCAGCTCTAATGAGGGGGCTACGGGGGTGAATGCCACTCGTTCTTTTTTCCCCTTAACACAGCCTGTTATTACCGCTTTTTTTTGTCTCTTTCTCTCTGGCTCGCAGGGGTACACACACTCTGTGCTCGTCTTATACCATGTAATTCTCTTCCCAATCACACTCCTGTCATCCTGCCCTGTCACAAGGCCTGACAATGCTGACAAGGGCGCCCCAAAAACCCGGGTGAGGCAGGGGGGGGGACACACAAAAGAGCTGCGACTAGGTCCCCATTATGGCACCGTTGGGGTCACTGTGCAACTGATGAGGTCTGTAACAGCACCTTCCAATTTGCAGTTGTTGTGTCAAGGGTGCTGCTTATTTGTCACAGTTTGGAGACTTTGCCAAAGTTTGCCCTAGTTGGAAAATCTGCGATTGGAAAAATGGAGACTAAACAGGCGATGGTGATTTTTATCCCAAGGCCGAGGACGTGACTGTGCCAGCTTCTGCTAAAGCTCTGGATGGACTTCTAGCTTTTAGGTGAATGTGTCACACTGGTCCTCTGCACACCTGGCATGTGGCGTTAGAGGTCTGCACAGGTCCTAACCTTAAGCCACAGTATTGTCTTTAACACCCAGTGCAGCTTGTACTTCCTAATTGGACATCTGAACTGGAGATTCAAGGCTAGATTTCATTGTATTCTTTCAAAATCACACAAAAAAAGACGGCTATTGCAATACACACTGATCGCATAATCTGAGCCTGAAGCTTTATACAAATAAACAAAAGACCCAAAACCCCTGAGTGGCTCAAGTTATATAATAAATCTCTCCTTTCTTTCTGAATGGCAGCTCCACAGATGCTACAGAAGTCAGCAGCACCATAACTCTTTTATGGAAAAGAGACATCTTATAAATGAAAATCACCTCATTTAATAAACTCTCGTCAAATTAATCATTATTTTTACCGCCCGCATGCGGCGCAGGAAAGCCGAGACTTTGTTACAACTCACATTTCCTAAAGATACAAGCTGAATTCATTTAAATTTACACACCGAATAAAAGGATTTAGTTGGATAATCATAAAGATTGAAAGCATAGGCAGACTTGTACCAAACAGTTAATGCTTTAAAAAATCATCAAGTAAAAAAAATCATCAAATGAGAAGTGAACAGTTATACTCTGTAGGTTGAGGGGATGGAATTGGCCTCGTGTGTGAGTGAACAATGAAGGATTTTAAGGATAATAATGGTTAAAAATAATAATAAAACTAATGTGAAATAAAAAAGTATACACATGTAAATAATGTTTATGGACTGTTAATAAGATAAAGACTACTTCAGAACATAATTAACACCTTTGAGTATTTACATTACTCATACACTAACTTAACAAACAGGGTTTAAAAAAGTATTATTGTTACTATTCTTATTCACAATGTTTATTTTAAACCCTTAACAAGCTTTGTTTTTTGTTTGATTAGCACACAATTGCAACAATAATTATAATAAAGAGTTCGCAGTCGTCTGAAATGATCTCTACACATAGAAACTGCCAACGACTTTATTAAAAGTAATCTAATAAGGCCGTTAACACTTTTACAGTCTTATTAAAGCTTCCTGCATGTTAATTAAATCTTTGTAAGGACTCAAAGACTGTAAATAAAAGGTGGATGAAGGGTTTTGCATGCTCACATCTTTCTTTGTTAACTAGTGGATGATGTCAGAGTGGTTACAGCCACCTTTTATATACAGTCTATGCTTGAGTAGCACTTACCAACTTATAATCGCGTTTCACAAAAAGCTAAGCATTTGCTAACTGTTGTGGTTTAAAGATTTTATTCTCCTCGTGCTGAGGAAAAATTGATACCACATTTCTCTTAAGCGAGCAGAAAAAGACCTACATAATGGTTACGTATTAAAGCAGCGCTCCTTTAGTCCTTAAATTGAGGCATTCAATTCACTGGACCTGTGTCAGAAGTGCTCCAGGAAATGTTACTCGGCCTAACCTATTAAGTAGCAAGTCGCGGCTTTTACTGAAGAAGTGACTCAAAGATGAGACAGACATATAATTGCCAGCACAATAACAGAGTGAAGTGCATGTATTAAAGGCACTAAAGAGACAGAGAGTTGAAGAAAGGGCAAGAGTACCATACCTCCATAGTCTGAGACTGGTGCATGGCTTTGATTGCATTCTGTGCCATAGCTCTGGTGGAAAACGTGACAAACGCACATCCTGTAACGAGGGAGGGGGGGCAGAGGGAGGGAGGGAGGGATGGAAGGGGAGTGGGAGGGAGGGCAGAAGGGCAGGAGGAGGAGGGAAGACAAGAAAGAACAAAAACAAGACAAAAGGGTTGGACACGTCGTCGTTATAAAAACCCAAAACAGAGATTGATACAGAGAACAGCTCACAGGCAGACAACAGTGTTCTCAGTCGCTGTAGAAACAACAGGCGAAAAACGAGCACAGTGTAATGACAACCACAACCCCTCCCCGACCCCCGCCCCATCCACCACAGGACACCTGGGACAATAACCATCGGAGCGTCGGATTGGCTGTTGATGCCTTCCCTCGTCCTTGCCCCTCCTCCTTCTCCTTCCTCTCGCTCCCACACACACACACGCACACACTGGCCGAATTCGTCATACCTGTATTCAACTGCTCTCATCTCTCAGCAATTGAGCGGTGTAAAGCAGGCTGAATATGCATGAAAACGATTTGAATCCATTTGAGCCGTTCATGTTGTTTTGTGTGTCTGACTGGGTGCCCTCTCTTTCTGTCTTTGTCAGACAGGAAAGAGATGTGATAGAGGAGGGCGAGGTGAGGGGGCATCAGCAGGGGGCTCGGGAAGACGGGAGGATAGGAAATGATATTAATTCAATCCACAGGGAGAGGAAGGCGAATAGGAAGTGGAGGTGTGGTCGGCCTCCTCCGTGACTGACACTGATTTTAGCCAATCAAGATTGGACACAGCCAGAGGCAATTTTAGGGGAGTTTGTTATCAGTTGTTTGTGGGTAAGGGGTGGGAGGAGGGGGTGCAAAGTTGTGTTTGTCTGACTGGTTAGGGAGTGATTAGAGGAGATAATGTGAGAAGTGCTTCAACAACACCCCAGGCTAATAATATGCTAACAAACTCACCAAGCCATGTTAGCGCAGCCAGGCCTGAACTGATTACACACATGCTTGGACACACACACACACACATGTTCAGGTTCAGCTGGCTGACTCGTGGCTTGGCTACAGAGGAAAAAACTAATAGCATGGGTCATCAGATAGACTCTCCCTGGCTGTGTGGATGGGATGAAAGGGTGGAGAAAGGGGGGGGGGGGAGGAAATTGTGAGGATAATGCAACAGACAACAAGACAGAGAGAGAGGGGAAGGACAGATATGTTGAGGAATAGATGATCATTGTTCTCTTCCACCTCTATCACAAGCCGCCTGTAGCTGTGATAGAATGAGGATGAGAGAGACGAATGGTCAGTTTTTTCTCCTGACTACATCTACGGCTGCCTGGATTTTAAACACAGGCGTTTCCCTAAGAAAATGTAGACCTGCACTTGTACAGTTGCAAGTTTATCTCGGGGCCCTGACCGCCCTTTCTGGAGGGTAACACGTTTCTGATGAGCCTCGCTGTTTAAAACCGGACGCTTCTTTGCTCGGTAGAGGGCAGGTTGGTTTCTTTGATTGTTGGGCTGTTTCACAAACTGATTTTAAAACAAGAGATTAGAGTTGCATCTGTTTCTCATAGTCACTGTTTGTCTCTTTTATTTTGTACGTAGTGCTCAAACTGCTTGGTTACAGCTTTGAATCAAATCGCCAACTTTACAATTATTAGACACCCCGTTCTACCTCTGCACACATTTGAGACACAGGGCACGCCGAGCAAGCGAGTCAAACCCCGTATTAAGTCGAATATAACCAATTTGAAGATAAATATTTTTAATATGCTCATTTTGATGCCAGCAAAACATTTTGACCGTGTGTCAACAGAATCAAAATCCGGCTGATTAGTAATATGGTTATTTATAAAAGAACCAGGCTGGTACAGATAGGGAGGCAAAGACTACGTGGGCAAACAGTTCTAAAACAGTTGTAATATTTTTTTTTTAAATAATCTGTGGTATATAATACATTTTAAAAGATATAATCTATATTTAAAGATTCAGAATTCCTGATCTTCAGCCTCTCGGGTGTCATTAAAAACACATCTCTGTTGTAGAAAGTTAAAACTGTATCATGAAAATATGAAAGCATATTTAAACAAGTTCCAGATGTGTGTCTCTTGGCCTCATTTTATTTTAACAGGAGATTAGGCAAAGTGGGGAACTCTGCTTTGATTTGACCCATATTTAACTGGATCAGGTGACCCTGAACTCTCCCTCAGTTACGCTGCAACTGGTCTAGGCGTGTGAGGTCTTCCCATGATGTGTTTCTTCTTTCCTCACCCTTTCACTCTCTGCAGTTAATCATTAGTTATTATTAATCTCTCTCTCTCGTCTCATCTCCCTCTCCTCACCCTGCTGGATATTTCTTCCTGTTAAAAAGGAGTTTGTCCGTCCCACTGTCACCATATGCTTGCTCACAAGGGGTCGTGTGATAGTTGGGGTTTTCTCCGGATTATTGTAGGGTCTTTACGTTACAACATAAAGCAACTTCAGACAAACTCTTGTTGTGACTTATCGCTATATAGATAAAACTGAACTGAATGAAAGCAATGTCATTATCTGGCAAACTAAACTGCTGAGTAGGTGAAATTATATATCCTGGGCAATTACAGGAAATCATTTAAAAAGTAACATAACTGGTGTGTCTGAAAGAGGTCAGCACACCCTTGGTCCCAGCCTTTTTGAAAATCTTTTTCTGTCATCAAACTCAGAATGTGCTGTGTTTTTAATAATTTGCATAAATTGGCATTTTTTAAATTTCCCATGTTACCTAGCGCCCTAACTCTTTTTTTGAATCTTTTTTGTAGGTTGTAATTTTGAAAATCAGTTCTGAAAAAAGTAATGTGGATATTTTTTGAAGGCGTGGTTGCCAAACCTATTATATTAACACATGATAAAAGCAGAAATTATAGCACTCAAAAAGTTTACCGGGTCTCCTGTTAGAGGTTCAGACTGTGTTAACTGAACATATCAACTGAGGCCACAGTATTGAAGATTCAGTTTTTATAGTCTACACCATTTTCTGAATAGAATGAGAAGTTTAAGTGATGGCTGTCAAGAAGAATGAGCCTTGGTCTTTAGTGAGAACAACTTTAGAATTGAAAGAAATACACTTGAACAGTTTTTATCATCCGAGCACTCAAATCAACATCTTCTGTGTTCAATTTTCAAAATGATTGTTCCTATTGGTTATGCAGACCTGTCTCTGATCTTATATGAAACCTATTGACCTTTCCTTTTTCTTTTCTGTCACTGCCAACTGGAAGATAGAGTTCAATCACCTTTTATGTGAAACTACCTTGGTTGCTTAACATTAAAGAGGCAAGAAGGTGATAAAAAAGAGACTGAAGCTCTGACCTAGTAAACATTTGATGCGTCCTTTGCAGTGCCAGGGCTGCTGTGCTAAGTGGTAGCACTGAAGATAGGACATACAAAAAGGGGTCATTTTTCAATTTATTCAGGGGACTGTCTATTTTAGGTGGGCCACAATCTGCCATTTAACTGCTTATTTTCCAGGAGGCTGCCTCCATCCTCTGCAGAGAAGTAATGCCCCAGAACTAGATCAGTTCTGCAGGGGGCATCCATTTGGGTTAGCCCTCCAGACTGGTCCTGATAGGTCCTGACTCTATTTATAAAACCGGTCAGCTACAACATCATCGGCTGTCACCGAAAGGAGACTCATCAGTTTGTCTCCAACTGTCAGACAGGATGCTTTTCATCCGCAAAGAAACATTTCTATCTTTAGCCCGTTTCTGCAGCTTGAAGCCAAAGCTTCTAAATAAGGAATTCCACTGCGCCTGCACACTGATTCATTAATGTCGAAGCTGTTAATGAAAAATGAAACGCTTAGAGTCGAAGCCATACTTTCTGGCTGGTTGGTGCATGTCTTATTTTTCGAAGCACAGAGATGGGACGTAGCTCGAGCGCTAAAAATACCTCACGGGCCGCATTCTGTCGTCAGTGGAGAACCAAACAGTCCTTTAATGAAAGTAGGGTAGCTCCCCAGGCCCAGCCATCCACTGGTGGTGTGATCCATATTTTATTAATAGCGGGATGGTGGAGCGCTCTTCTGATTGATATCGAGATTTAATAGGACCTCAGCAGCGATGCTACGTGGGACTGAGGGCCCCTGGGAGTTGCAGGCACACAGAAATCCGTAAAGGCCTATTTATTTCCAACCTGGTTAGGGGTGTTTGTTTACTAGCCAAGACCAAGCTGGACTAACAGTATTTCCTTTTCGACTAAGTGGTTTATATTAGTTCCACAGAAGCAAGGATTTGGCCATTGCATCTAAAATATTCATGAGGACAAAAGAGAGGAGCTGAAGAGGGATGGAAGAAGGAAACAGGGAAGGGAGGGAAGGAGGCCGGTGTGGGATGTCTGAGAAAAAGAGGACAAATTGATGCAAGAACGGATTCTAGGACAGCCAGGGTGAATATAGAGACGGGGAGGGCCGTGTTGTTCGCAGAAGCAGAGGAACATGGGAGTTTGAGTAGTGTGGTTTCAGGCAAAGACTCAAGATGGAGACAACCTTCAGAAGAAAAGGAGGAAGATCAGACTCGAGTCAACAATAAAACATCCATAACATTCAACAGCCACAGAAAAGTATATATCACCAACATAACCACACTGAACCTGCGTGACGATGACAGCGACAGCTCCCGTGACAGAAGGAGGAAGAATAGAAGGACAGAGATTCGCAAAAAGCCCCTCCATCTCCTCAGCACATAGAAACCACAAAGGGGCAGGGAAGGGGGAGGTAGGGTATACTGGGAGGATGTTTGAAATGAGCCGTGAGGGGAGGCAGGTGTGTGCTTGTGGGAAGAAATGGTTGATGATGATTATTTAGATAGGTAACATAGCTAAAAATAGATTGATAGATGATTATCATATCTGCTCATATGTCTTGAAACACGGACCTACAGAACACACCTGTCACACCCAGCAGCTGACTGATCTGAATGATTTGACACCTGGTTTATAGGTCCATTTCTTTTCTTTAAAAGCAGCCCTGGAGCACTTTGAGAAGAGCACCAAGAGTGTGCCAATTACGAAGGAAACTCGCCAGGAATTTGCTATTTTGCTGTGGAGGCAGCTCATACCTTTCTCCAAATCAACTGAATTGGAGATGTTGCCACATTCAGAGTCATAAAAACGTTTTTCTTTTCTTTTATGGCCGTGTTACTTTTTCATTACTGCTCTATGACTCCCGCCAAGTCCCCGAATGGCCAAATCAGCACCTCACCAACTGAAAAAAAATGAAAGGGAAATGGCTGGTATTACAAGGGTTTCATGTGAACTGCCAGTAATAACCATAATTTGCTTGAAATTCTAAATTTGAGGGCAGGCTTTCCTCAATATCAGTTTGGTACTGGACTCAAATTTGGTTCAACAAGTGATTTATGTCAACAGTAACTGAGACTGGTATCAAATAACTGTAAGATCATTCACTGAAGATAAAAGATCAATGTAGCTATGGTGTGCTGCATACGCCTTGAGCAGAGCAGTGCTTTTTGAAACTAGCAACGAGCACAAGGTGGATTTGACTGAGAAACCTGTCGATCACATAACCTAACATAAACTCGTATACTGATGTAATAAAGTGGGGTCTTCGTCTCATAGACTTATCAAGTCAAAAAAAAGTAAATACAGTTGCAGTAAAATTATGAAAGTGCTTTAAAATTAACATTTTGTTTTGCTATGCAAAACATAACCAATCCTTTTATTTCAACACTACAAAGCCAACAAAGCAGCAACTCACGTCCCGATTTGGACAGCGGATTTGAAAATTCCCACTGCTCTGCAATGGAAGTACAGAGCTTAGGACTGGCTCATGGACAGGGTAAACCGGAACAGCAGGGAAGGTGGAGGATATGAACAGAGGTTAGGAGGCGAGAAGGAGGAGTGGGAGAGGGGATGTTTGGGGATGAAGCTGACAGAGCAAGAAGGGGAGAAGAAAGAATGGGGGTGGGGGGTATATAGAGCGAAAGAGGAGAAGCATGTATTCACAGTGGTGGCCACAGCAGCCTCGAGATGTTGCTCCAGTTCATTTGCATTGACTTCTTAAAATGACTCTTTTAAGACCTCGAAGGAAAACATTTAGGAAGAAGCAGTTGGTTGAAAACAGAATCTGATACAAAGGCTGTGCTGTATTAGGCATATAAGGTATACTGGGCTTGTTGCACTCATTTAATTTCTATAAACAGATATCTATACATAAATGTGGTTCCTTTTTTAGTCCGTTTGTACTCTCAATCCCAACAGACTTCAATGGTAAAATCCCCAACTTTAAGGCAACCTTTCAGCGGAAACTCTTTTTGGTGACTTCAGATATTTTTTCTCTTCAACAAACAACTGTACCGTGGCTATGATTTTCTATAACTCACCTGTTTGTTAAAGCTTAAAATTAGGGCTCTAGCTGCTGTTGTCTGCTAGCTGTCTCTGCTAACTGTCTCGAGGCTTAACCTCTATTAATAAGAATAATTAAAGTGGGCTTCATGTGCTTTTAGGACCTCTTTGAAATGGGATTATCTGACTATATCTATCAGTTTTTATTTGGGAATTTGTGCTTCTGTTCTAATGAGTAAAATTCTTAGTTGATACTTAGCAGTTATTAGCAGGTGTTTGCGCCTATGCAGGTAAAGCTAACCAAGCTTGTTTGCACTGGCAGATGGTGTAACGCTCCTCACTTTCATCCAAGTATGGTCACTTTTGGATCCAAAAACCAAAAGTATGGTAGCTGATGCTGACGCTTTAAGAACAGGAAGTTCAGAATTAGTCTGTATACTTTATATACAGTCGATGGTTTGCACCTCTCTCATCCTCCACCATGTGTCCAACAGCTATCATCAGAGGCCTAAAGACTTATTAGCAACCATCTGATAACCAGTGGTTGTGTAGGGAAAACTAGTGAAACAGGTTGTTTGCATGGCTAATGCCGACTTGATTGTAAACAATAACTAAACAATAACTACTACTATTTAACTTGCTTGGAGGATAAATTGGCATCGCTCATGCAAACTACAAGAGACCGCAGCAATCTTGCAGAAAACTTTAACAACCACTTACAACTGGTTGGTAAATACACATGTGGTTGCCGAGGGTTGCTAAAGAGTCTAAAGGCCTGTGTGACTGAGGCCATACAACACCAGCTAATCTAGAATAATTTTATCTTGTAATATGCAGAAAATAAAATAACCTTTAAACCACAACTTGATGCCCCTATACATCCATTAAGTGGATAAACTAGCGGAGCCTTTTGAGAGCCCTGATCCAGCTTCAGCTTTAATTATTTCTGCTCTCATTCTATTGCTTATTATTATCACTAGAATTTCTGCAGTATCTATCAAACCAATAAAACCTGATAATATGAGCTCTAAAATGGCCTTTGACGTCTTTATGACCTGCACAGAGCTCTTCCACTGCAGACCTTTGATGGCTAATAATTGATTTTATTTTGGCGAACCATTCGATAACCATCTTCTGAACCACTCAGACTCCGGGAAATAAAAAAGGACAGAGCGCACTTCCACTTGCCGAAGGCAATGAATGGCTCAAGGTTGACTTTCAATTAGAAAATCAAGCCTACACACACAAACATTTATTGTTGGTTCTGTCAGGTGTGCAGCTTGATCACAACATTAAAATACTATTTCAGGTAAATGGGGAAATCTAATTTAATAGGCACGGGCACATTATGCGCAATGAAAGGCTCATCATTTTTCTATACTGCTGATTTGCAAAGGAAATATTTATGACCCCAAAAAGTTTTTATATAATAATTACCGCAGTTTTAAGTAAACAGTCTTTTCTTGCAACACTGACAGCTCGGAAAACACTTCCAGAGGTATACAGTGAAGTGAAAAATGGCTGAGAAGGTGTAAATGAGCAGCTTCCTGTGCAGCACAAATGCTTTTAAGCAGGCAAATAACAATAAACTGCAAAACATTAAAGCGGTTGGGAACTTTTTCAAGTCAGTTTTTCAGAACCTCACTTCAACCAGTCAACTCTTATCACAAAATTTCGAGGTAAACACTTTTGAGTCATTACACAAGTTAATGCAATGAACTGTAGCTGCTGGAGGCCACGCAGGTGTTAATGTTCACATGAGGAACATCAAGTCTGGATCGAAGTGAGTCAGAGGGACAGGTACCTCTGCTGAGCCCGTCGGGTCCTCGGAGGATCCGGCATTCCTCGATCTGTCCAAACGCAGAGAACATGACCCGGATGTCGTTCTCGTTGCACTTCTTCGACACCATGCCGATGAACAACTTCCTGTCTTCCACGGCTGTAAGGAGAACCGAGAAACAAGATGAATGAAGAGATTTTATGACATTAACACTCTGTGCATGCCAGAGTTAATGCTGTGTTCCTCTCAAATGACTTTAAACATTTCCTTAATACCTATTTCACTCTTTTAATCAGAAAAGACCTCAGGTGCCCTCTAAGAAAACCACTCTGACATAACTGTAATGGGCTTCTAAAGCAGATAGAAACATGGCATAAAGGGAAAAAAAAAACAGTTTGAAAGCTTAATCTGTTGAACTTTGGGTTTTATTGTAAATTATGGCCTTAACCCAAATGTTATATAAGACCAAACTCACTTAGTCATAAAGCCTGTTGCATCCAGAATAGTTTGAGGGGTTTTTCTTGATGCTGAGCTAATGAGCTGCTACTAGCTTTATATTTATTATCCAGGCATTTAAGTGTTTTCAGTGTTTGTTGTGAAAGCAAATAAGTACTTTAAAGCTGGTGTAGGCAAATTTCTTTTAGTTTTGGTCATTAGACAAAAAAAGTGGATTCATCAGAGTACTATCACCGGGGAGAGTGGGGTTCAAAGTCCCTATACGCCATATGGATTCAGTGTTGCCAACTCCTCAGTAAGGAAAATCGCTATTGGCTGTCCTAAAAGTCGCTAGAAGTCGCCAAATGACGTCATCGCCTAATTTGCATAATTGGCCATGCTAATGTAATTGTAACCTACGCTGTTGGAGAGAGAAATAACATCGTGGAAGAGTCATAAAGTGAGTAAAAAACGTCCTAAATGCAGTTTGAATGTATTTAGAACTACAAATTAAATTTATTTTAGCAATTATTGTTTTTAAATGTCACAATTCCAACCCTGCTTCTTTATCCAGGCCTGGACCAGCAAAAGTGACCCGAAATTGGCACTCTGGTGGAGTTACTTTGTGTGTGAGTGTGTGTTTATAAGTAGTTTTAAACCTTGTGATCCACAAAACAGCATAAGAGTAAAGGAAGAACTGACTGCGTTACAGTCAGTGCGGGAGCAGCGGCTTCGCTCATGCGCGATTCATTTGCCGTTTGGACGCATAGGTGAACATCTCCTGCCCTGATAGAAGCTGAGGAGGACTATCCTCCGCCTGTGAGCGCTTTGGCATGGGTGAGGTGCCCAAGGCAGCACCGCTGCTTGTTGAGAGTAAGAGCGATACGCGTTTTCACGTCAAAAAGTCGTCATAAATAAGTCTCCAATAATACCAGAAAAAGTCACCAGATTTGTCGCTAGTCGCTTTTTAGAAAAAAAGTTGCTAAGGGGGTCTGAAAACTTGCTAAATATAGCGACAAAGTCGCTAAATTGGAAACACTGCATGGATTACATGCTGGATAGTGGGTGGGGCTTAAAAACGAGCCCTTGGGCTATAACCTCCGGTTTGACTGACTCATTACTAGTGATGTGTGATACCACTGATTTCCTTTCCGATCCGATCCAAGTAATATTCAGGGTGGTATCGACGATACTGATCCCGATACTTTGTACAAAAACATTTTATTTATTGTATCTCAAATTATAGCATGATAATGATTACAGGACATCAGATTACTTGTTCTTATCACTTAATAATGCAGAGTTCATCATACAGAAATAAAAAACCTGAAGTTGTGCTATTTGAACACCTGCCTGCCTGCAGCACTAAAGGACTCCGTGAGAGACGTCTGTCTCGCCCTAGCAGCACCTGTCGTTCTCCTCCTCTTCAGTTCGTCTCAATATACACTCGTCATATTCTGTGATATGATTTACTCTGAGGTGTTTGACCTCAGGTTAGTGATGTTGCCACAACCATACATGCCAACCCTCCCAATTTTTCCGGGAGAATCCCGAATTTCAGTGCCCCTCCCGAAAATCTCCCGGAGCCACCATTCTCCCGAATTTCTCCCGATTTTCCACCCGGACAACAAAATTGAAAAAACCATATCGCAGAATTCATAGTGCCTATTCCAGTTTCCAACAATGGCGGCAGCTGCTTAGTTTTAATATTACTCTTATTTCTCTTTCTGCGTCGCAAAAAAACTTTTAATATGTTTTCAGGTGAGAATGTAGCTGTGTAAATATCTGAGACGACCGACACATCGTCTTCAAACCCCCGCGGTCTTTCACTACTCGGGTTAAACATGATATATAAGTCACTTTGATAACTTAAAAATGTTATTGTTGGGCTTTTTCAGTGTTTTATTTGTTTGTGAGTAAATTGGCTTGGCTGAGATTAAAGTTATTAGATTAGATTAAATTAAATGTTACTTTATTAATCCCTCGGGTGGGTTCCTCCGGGGTTTTCACACAGCTGAATAAACGTCAAACAGAAAGCTGATTAAACAGAAGTGTGAGACGGTCGAGAGTTTACGTCAGCGCCCTGTTATATTTTAGATGGCAAGGAGCAGACGGCTGTTTCACTCCACCGAGGGAGCTCGTGCCGTACTACCCGGCTTTCTTTAGACCGGGTTCTGAGGTGGAAGCAGCCTCTGAATTTGGACACCCCTGCTGTATTTTATCCGATAAATCAACACTGTAAAATGTATTTATCACCCCCCAACAGCCCTTTTGAATGTCTCCCTAATTCTGAGGTCTCAAGGTTGGCAAGTATGGCCACAACACCTCACTTTTTTGCCACATGTATCGCAAACCACGTCTCAGCTGTTTGTGGAAGTAAAATACGTCCGCACAATTACGCTCAGCCATTGTTGTGAGTGCACGCGCCAAGGGGCTGCAGACATTTATACAGCCGTATTTCGCACATGACTATGAAAGGCGGAAGAGGAAGTAGTTCCTTTGAATGTAGACAATCCGAATGTTATAGTTTCTTTCCACTGTGTTCCTGTTAATGATAAACTACAAATTTACCCTAAATTACTAAAATATTGATATTTTAATGTGAGAATCGATTCTAGAACATAAATGATTGGTATCGAAAGAATTGATATTTCAGGATTGATCCGCACATCACTACCCATTAGCTGTGCCATCACTGGAACTTATTTCCTAAGCACAGGAATGCTTCATGGCTAATCAAAGTCCTTAGAGAAGCAAGTCTGGGTACTCAGCAGCCATACTGGTAATGCTTCCCTAGGTAGTTATTTCGAAGTATTATTGAAATTAACTTTAATTTATTAACTGCTTATCCAATTCAGAGTCACAGAGGGGATAGAGCCTATCCCAGCTGTCACAGGGTGAGAGGTTGGGTACACTCTGGGCAGGTTGTCGGTCTATCGCAGGGCTAACACAGAGAAAGAGTGTGTTAACACTCACAGCCACACCTATGGCCAACCACTGAACCTAACATGCATGTAGTCGGAGTGTGGGAGAACGTCAGAGCACCTGGAGAACTGGGAGAGAACTCATGCAAGCACTAGGAGAACATCCACACAGAACGGTTTCAAACCAGGGTGCACTAATAACTTTAATTTCAATCTCCTAAAATAAAATGCTTAAAAAGTTTGCTGACAAATGCGCTGTTACAGATTTCTTTCATAGATGTCATATTAGGACTGCCACTTTTCTCTCCTATTATGTTTCTGGTTTAATCCCGTGCTTTTGCCGGATGAAAGAAGGATTAACTGTAAAGAATTGGGTGTTTCAGAAAGCGTTCTCACAACTTTAAACCCTCCCAAACTCAGATATGGTGTAAGTTAAAGATTTACTGAACATTTCTGCCCCAAAGTTAGTGACACCACAAAATAAAGTAATCATGGATAGATGGAGTGTGAACATCGCAGCAGCTCATAACCAACAATCAGCGCTTTATCGTGTAAAAAAATTGGCTAACTTGACTTTGTTAGGACATAAAACTTTGCTGATTTATTTAAGAGCAGTTCCAATTTCAGATGACCAATATTTTCTTTGCTTGAGGGTAGTTTCTGTTTTGTGTAGTTTACGGATAATCACATTCAAAGCCATTTTTTAAATATAAATACCAAGGAGAGTATGCTGTGAAATAGTGATGTGTGGAAAAAAAGATTGGTAAGAACAAAGAGTAAAATAAAAATAAAAAATAGATAAAAATGAAAAAGAGCGAAATGTGGAAAAATGGATTGAGACAAAAAAATGTAGCAATCAAAAGAAACAGTCAAAGAAAGAAAAAAAGACAGTGGGAGAGCGATGAAGACAGACAGAGTTCATGTATTTCATCATGCCATCTGTGAGGCTCTGATCAATGTCTCATTATCACTTCAACACCGGCTCCTTGCTGAGACTCTTCAGCCTGTCCTCTCTCACCCCCTTCCTCCCTCCCTCCACCTCTCCTTCCTCCTCTATCCTCCTTCCTCCTCCCTCGGGAATTTCTCTCCATCTCCTCTGCTGACACAATCCCTCCTTCCTCCGGTGCAATCTCGAGGAACGGGCGCAGGCGGCTGCAGGTGAAGGCGAGAAACTTGCCCCCGTGTGTTTTCCAGCGCGAGGCGTTAAGTTCGAATTAGGCTGAGAGTGAAACCCACATTCATTCGCTGAAACAATGCGCGCATGTGTGTGTTTATGTGTTCCCGCTGCATTCAATGTAATGCTAATCCAATTCATTTTTAATGAGGAAACTGTCAGCTCTTACCGCGAGGCGAAAGAGATAAGCGGTCTGTTGCACTCTGGGAAATCAATAGCGCACTTGTTTATTTTGCTGTTTGAATTGTTTGTGTGTTTAAAAAACAAACCATCGGGATACGCTGCCAAGATAAGTGTTGCTTCAAAAAGCTTTAACTCCTTTGTACACACAGTTTGTGTGTGTGTGTGTGCGCGCATCACTCCAGAGAAAGATTACCACAAGTCTAACAGCAATGTAATTAATTTACTCTGTGTCGATAGGAAAGAAAGAGAGGAGATATCGTTACAATTGACTGTTTCTGTTTTCGGACGAGGCGCACAGGCAGGCGGGCGGGTGATAAGACTCATAAAGCCGGCTCTGGGATGTATCAGGAGTCGGTTTTGCATTCGGGGATAAATCGGAGCAGAAGCGGCCTCACGCTGAGCTCCAAAAATAGTTAAAAGATGCCGAAGAAAGAATCACAAAGGTTTAGGGAAGTGTTAAATAAAAAACCCCACACACATACGCACAAGATTAACCAATACTGTTATCTCTCTCAGTCTCTTTCTCTTCTTCCATCTCCACTGGCTAAACTAATAAAGCTCTGCGCAGCCATACGTCACTGTTACAGCGGATCTAACACTGGGTTTATTAAAGGTCATTACCGTTAAATGGATGGACGTGTAACGTATGGTCTGCTCTATATTTCACCATTCCCACTGTGAGCAGCGGCTTCTTTATTAAGTTCCACCATCCTTACCCTGACAGTTATTTCTTATAAAGTGATATTTGGCCATATTTCAGTGGAGCGGATGATGGCTTTTATAAGCATTTCTCCCCCTGCCTTCCCAGATGCTGTCATTTTGCTCTCCTCCCCTGCAGTGGACAGTGACATACATGGCAGGCTAGAAGGAAAGCTCTGTGATGCTGCTGTGGCAAATGAGCTGCATTTAACGTACATGTGAGTTCTGCATGTGTCCAAGAAATGCTATTACATGTAGCATTGCTGGCTTTAAATGGGCAGCTCATCCAACCCAAAATTCCGCTCAATTACTCAGCATTAAGGGTCACTTCATCCAAACTGCAAAAACCTACATTTTCTCACTTAACTGTCTAAATAATTTTAATTTCATTTGCCAGATTTTTCACATACCCAATGCGCTGCCACACTACATAATTCTAATGGGAACCATTTCACATCTAAAAATCCCCAAATTGGGGTCTTCTGGTTATTCATCCAGCAAAACTGCAAATCTCCGAGGAAGCTTAGATGTTTTTTTTCTTTCAAAACTGCACTCTTGTTTTTACTTTTTTTGAACCGCAAAAATTGGGTCGCGCTAATTTCTGATGCAGCTGGAGTCCGAGCAGCAAAATGTGTGAAAATAACTGCTCTTGTGTAAATTTACCGAGAAGGTAAGGAAAGCCCGAGTTATTACCTCATAGTGTGAAGAACAAAATGTCACAGCAGTGTATTTACTTTAAAAATGTCAAGAAAAAAAAAAGAGTTATTAAATTTTTTTGCTTGACATTCAAGTTTAGCTCAGATTTGGTACTGAAAACATCCGCTATGGGCTGTAAGAAGAATTAAAAAAGTCAGATTGACTATTTAGAAATAACTTCCCAGAGTCCTGCCATTTAATAACATGACCTCTGGAGTACATAAAAGCTAAACTCTGCAAGGGAAAATGAGAAACAATGATTGTTTTTAGCACCTAAGTCAGCGGTCTCCATCTTTTTTCAGCTGCCTTACACAATCATGCCCTAATAAGTTCATTTGAACTCATTTTAAATAGGATCAGGACTTTTTAATTCATTTTAGCTGCCCATAACTTTAGCTTAACATTAAAACAATGGAGCTTTTACTTTCTGTTACTAATTAATTGAACAGGTAATTATGTTATGATAGTTAGTGACCAATTTCCCTGAGTTTATCTATTACTGTTCAGTTTGTTAACTATTAATCCAAACTTTAGTTGTTAATCAGGCCTTGTCACTAGCAGCTAACTGCTAACTAATAGTCACATTTGTTGCTAAATGTCATTCATAACTTCATATTAATAACTTTAGCTATCTATTGTGTTTGCAAACACTTTCGACTGTTTTCCTTCAACATGTCTTCTGCTTGATCAACGTCTTCGTTTTATGGCAAAGAAACCAAATTATTTCCTCCTGGATTTAGTGGGACATAGGTGTTTATCAGCTTCAGGTTTCTGTTTTTACGGCAGTTATATCGTTGTCCATGACTGAAAGCTCACGTCCAGTTGAAGCAATGGAATTAAACATGAGTCCAACAGTTTGAGTAATGGTAAGAAGTAAAGTGACCGTCTGGAAATAAATAAGGAACTAACTTATAACATATTTGTGAGTTGATTTTTCAAGGTCTGCATCTTCGCTCAACAAAATGCGTCAGAAGAAGCGATGAAGTATTTATAAATGAGCTAACAGATAACAGCAGGCCTACCCTTTAAAGATGCATCCACTGGTATTACACACTGTCCAACAGCTTCCTCTTTGAATGAGAAGGAATGGAGGATGAGGCTCGGTATAGGAAATCAATTCAGAGCTGGATCTGCGGTATGTAGTTTGGGAACGGGGTGATCTGAGGACGAGGGTGTGCGACACTGCTTGTGTGCATGCACGAGCGCGCATGTGTGTAATAGATGCATTAGGGAGAGCGTGTGTGGCAAGAGGAGAGTGCATACAACATGTTTGTATGAGTGAGCAGCCACAGGGGAGAGAGGCCGGTTCACAACGAGGCCAAAACGATTCAACTTTCACTGACCTCCTTATGAACCACCTTAATAATTCATCACACATAGAAAAATATATTTATATATATCAGTATTGCCCCATCCCACCCCCTTTCTCTCCTCTGCTCTATGTTTCAATCTTTTCCCCGAGTCCCCCGCGCTGTCTGCCAATCAAGCAGAGATAGCCATTACCAAGCAAAATTCGAAAAAGGCTATTGATGCATGCATGCATGTGTATGTGTGTATGTGATATTGATGGGTCTGTCGCTGTGCATGTGTGCAGTGCCACTCACCATTAGATTTCTCACTGTCTGCAGGTTTCATCTGAATAGGGTGGTGCATCTGTAGAGACAGAAAACAAGGACAAAAAAACGCCTCATCAAATATCGGTACACATGCCCTAAAACACAATATGACGAATGCTGCAATTCACTTTGTCTCTTCACATCCAAATGAAATCCCAAGAGGATTTCATACTCTGTTAATTACACATGTTTTATAGAGATGCTTTTGTCAGATAAGAAATATGGCAGCAATTGCTTTGGTTTTCCCACAGCAGATAGAAATCTGTGTGAGACACAGTACGCCGCTCAGCTCCGCAGGGCGGCGGTAGAGCATCTAAACCGGTTTTCTCTAGCAAATGCCAGAAAACACGAGGAGGAGATGAAGATATAGGGGTCAAGAGGGCAAGAGGAAGGACAGAAATGAGACCACATGCAAGAGCCAGAGCATGGGAAAGTACAAGGAGGATGCACATCAGCAAAAACCGAGAAGTAAATAAAAGAGGAAGAAGCCCCAAAAAGAAGAGGAGGAAGAAGAAGAGCAAGCGGTTTTCTGCTTGACATTTCTAAATCGCTTAGAAATAACTACCCAGGGACATAAACACATGGAAGATAACAGTTTGCTTGTAAGAAGTCCGCTCACTCACTTCAACAACTGCAACTGATTATTGTGGAGATAAAAGCTTCATACAATAGTCGGCCAGATGACCGCCAGCATGAAAAATGCTGGTGCTGGTGCGCTGCACACTGAGAGACATTAGCATATAAACATAACCTTTCAATATTTGGAATATTTCAGCATTGTTATTTGTCTGTCACTGTCACAGAAGAAAGACCTAAAAAGAGTTTATTTCCACAAATCACTGACTCACTTTGGTTTACAGACATGAACTCAATCCTTGCACGGGGTTGTATATGATAACGTTGATGCATGATCAGCTGGAGAGGACATTATGTTTCAGGCTTCCTAACCTGCTTCATGGTTCAGATGGTAAGAGATATTACTCTGCTAGATCTGAAGTATGAAGTCTGACATTAGAGCAGAATTGGTCAAAGGGTATCATGTTTCCTGTCTCCTGCTCGCTCTACAGCACCACCCCTCTTTAAAACCGGAGGATTTTCAACTCATCAGACATGGATGATTTCCTGTACAACATATGACTCTAGACCAGGCTTGGGCCTGACTGTTCAATCGATTCTCATCCCAGTGGTGTCTATCAGAAACTAATGGCATTAAAGATCCCAAATTGTCTTTTGCACTGTTTTTAAGGAGAGACCAAGTCCTCGTTAACCGAACGTTATCATCCCACAAATGTGTCTGTTTGTGTACAAGCTTCTTTTCGGACAAGGGGCGATGAGAGGGTCCTCCAAGGTTTTGGAAGTGGTGATGTGTCTTCATAGATCGAGAAGTTCAGCATAAAAAGTTGTGACAGCGACTGCTGTGGACTCTTTATGTTTTTTTAAACACTCAGTTTTACTTTGTATGTTGGAAGTTAGAACGTCGCTTTCCACTGCGGCTCACAGATGGACTAACAACAGCACAAAGGAAGAGTGACCCACAGCCCGGTTGTACCAAATACCTTATACACTGCCTCCATCTGGTAAAAGAGCCCACTGCAGGCAGACTGGACATTCTTTTTTTAACCTTATTTTTACTTTTGATTTTACTTGCTGTGTTAAAGGGTAGGCACCAAAAACAGCTTGGTTGGTATTAAAAAAGAGCTTTGGGTTAAAATGACAAAACTACCCAGTGCATATAAATGTTACGCCAAGGGTTCCTGAACAGTTGTCCATATGTGATAGGTTGGGCTAGTACCATGTTGTGTGCCACACACCACAGACACCAAAGGCATCTCAAACTTTATAAGCTTTACACCAGCTGAACATCTGGCTAAAATTGATTTCCAGGGTCAGAGCCAAAGGCTGGACACAGCAGGGGTCAAGGAAGAGCCACCTGCCACAAAACCAAAGCTGAAGCCTGCCCGGGACCCACGTAGTCATAGAACTGAACTGGACTTCCAGTCATTGCTGTTTTTCTAGCACAGTCTTTTTTTGAGGTATCATTTCTCAACTGTTTTTCCCACAAAGACATATTTTAACCACTCAACTGAGAGATACATTAAAAAGCTTATCACATGCTTGAGCTCTGACAGATCGCCGACCTGTCAGCTAGGAAGTGGTTTAAGTTGTGATCTGATTACATACTTTCGCATTAGGCCTTTCTGTTAACAGTCATTCTTATTGCACTGATTCTGCTTGGATTAACGTTGGATCTTACTGCACACAAGGTTGGCCCCAGTTCAAAGTAAACTGTCCTGCACATCCTTCTTTGGCTTTTGGCTGCCTTTAGGTTGTCGACTGGCTTGCATGAGACAGCTGGAATAGCAGGAAAAAGACATTTGAAATTGCTGGAGGGATTTCTTTCCTTGATCAAACTGCAGCTGTCATTTAGACCTGATTTGATCTCAGTATGATCCAGACCAACTGAAGACCCAGCCCGGCTTATCTTGATGCATTCTGACTGCAGTGCATTGTGTAAGTATTTACATTTTGCGATTTTTTTCTTCTTTCTTTATCCACACGCACAGTATTAAGAAACAGATTGCTCGTCTTTAGCAGGTGTAAATGGGGTTTAATGCCTGCATTTAGACTCGTCTTTTTAGATCCTGGATATCTCTCTGATGTATCCAAGAAGCAGTTTAATGGAGCTGAATGATGGATGGGTTTTTTAGGTGGTGAGTCTTCTTTTATGGAAAACAAAACAAAACAAAAAAAAACACTTCACAGATGAGACGGCTCCCCCTCCCTCGCCTCGCCCTCCTTCATGCTCTCCTCCTCTGTCCCTTTTTTTATTCCCTCCATCTCTCTTTCCTTTATGGGAGATTATGTGGCTGTTTGATCTGCGGAGAGACGAATGACAGTGATTCTCCAAATCTAGCCCAGTATCAATCACACTCAGAGTCAAATACCAGCCGTGAGTGAGTAGGTCTGTGTCTGCGCGAGCGTGCATAAATGTGTGTGTGTGTCCGTGCGGGTGTGTATGCGCCCCGTCTTACTCATAACGCCCCTGGGCTCAGTCACGCTGTGACAGAAGGCTTTGATCTTCCAATTCTATCACACACCTTTATCCCAACTCTCTCCCTTCTTGCTCGCTTCCTTATCATCCTCACTCTGCTTTTTTCCCCTCCCTCCTCGTCTCCCAGACCTGTCCCAGATGAACGCGCGCGCACACACACACACACACACACACACACACACACACACACACACACACACACACACACACACACACACACACCTAGTCTGTTGATTAGTTCCCAAACCTGCCTGATGGGAGCAGTGAGTGGTGAATGAGGAAGAAACAATGTAGCAATAAAAGGCAGAAAGAAAGAGAGAAGAAAATCATCAAATAGAAGAGGAGACAAAGAAAGAAAAAAAAGGCAAGAAATAAAGCAAAAAAAACCTAAGAATGAAGCGAGAAAGAAATAAAGAAGCAGGAGAAAATTAGAAAAAAGGAAGGAAGGAAACAACAAAGGTAGGAAAAAAGAAAGTAAGATAAAAATTTAAAAAAAATAGCAACATAAGGAAAAGTAAGAAAGAAAGAATACAAACTAAAGAGAAGAAAGTGTGAAATAAATAACGAAGAAAAGGAAAAAAGAAAGACCAAAAGATGAAAGAAAGACTAATTGAAAAGATGCAAACAAGAAATAAAGCAAAGAAAAAAGATAACTAGAAAGATAGATAACAACCTAAAGAGAAGAAAATTACAAAGAAATTACAAAGAAAGGAAAAAATAGAACCTAAGCAGAAGGAAGAATTAAAGAAATAAAGAGATCGATAGATAGATAACAACCTGAAAATAATATAATAGAAGGAAAGAAAAAAGAAAAAGAAAGAAAGACAAATTACGACCTAAAGAGAAGAAAGAAAGAAAGAAAAAGTGAGACATGGTGAGACAGTGGATCCAACCAGAGGGAGGAAAGATAATAAATATCATATCATATATCATATGGACAGAAGAAGAGCTGTAGACTGTGGACAGTCAGAAGTAATCGGCAACCCTTCAGGCTGGAGTCTCAGTACAGTATCACTAACACAAGGACAGATGCAGGGACATGGATGAGGAGTGTGTGTGTGTGTGTGTGTGTGTGTGTGTGTGTGTGTGTGTGTGTGTGTGTGTGTGTGGAGGAGGGGGGGGGGGGGGGGGGGTGTTGAAGCCACATCAAAAGAAGCAAAGTCATGTCAAAGCAAACCTGGAAGTCACATCAAGTCAGTTTTCGTTAATCCATTTCAAAGTCTGTCCTCCAAAGGCAAAAAACAAAAACAAAAAAACAAAAACAAAAGCCACGACAGCATCCGCCGCGCTGCTGTCGTTCACTCCTGAAAAACACTGCCAAAAGCTGCACACACACACACACACACACACACACACACACACACACACACACATACACACAAGTACAAAAACTACGTCTGGCTTTCAGGCATCTCCTCCTCAGGTCTGTCTACACAAAATGCCTGGTGGGCGGGTGGCGCTGTCGACATGTTTGATCTTGGCGAGTTCCCGCCGAGATCCACAAAGCAAGACTCTCCTCCGCTATCCCACAATTCCACTGCGAGGTTTCTTCTCGCCTGGCGGCCCCACAGCCACAGCCTGCCATTAATTATGTGCTCTGCGGGAGCCCGGCACAACTACTAAGTCCTGGGTGCGCTCAGACTCATAAAAAAAAAAGCCCAGAGAACCAAAAAAACCTCCACAACGTGAAGCCACGTGTGCAGCCGCCTTGATGCTGCGCTGGCATTTAGCTTCATAAATGTATGCGTCTAGTCACCAGGAAGCTTAATCTTCTTCCTGTTTACCTGCTGCAAGCCTACGCGAGTGTTAATTCTCCCGTCTTTCCAGCCAAGAACTGAGTCGGCTTTCTTGGTAAATCTTTAATTGAAGTGGTTTTCATAAGCCACTCTAAGCCAGCGCGTAATAATTAATCAACAACAAGATTTACAAAATAGGAAAAATGAGAAATCCTTCAGAGGGCGGCTGTACAGTTAATGACACAAAGT